CCCATACTGGTTTGAGGGGTAACCCCTCTCGACCGAGTAGAGGCACTTTTATTCGTATTGGTGCGATCTCTCCCTCCGTGATGACAGGGAGCTTATAACTCGAGACTCCTTTAGTGGGGTCCTTTCCCTTTCTGTCGAGTGTTCACCATGGTCACTGTTCTTTATAGAGAAAAAACTAGGAAAACTAGTCGTTTCCCACAGACGGCGCCAGATTGTGCGTGCAAGATCCTGCACAATATAAAAAACGAGAACAGATCTCTCCCTTGGTGAACTCGAGTGAGTCAGTTGAGTGACCAACCACGCTGCTTGGAACAGCCTGCGAGGTCCGGTGGTAACCTGGAACGGCAACGGGAGACCCTGGGAGAGCGGAAGAACGATCCAGTAAGGCTGAAAGAGGTTCCTGGAACAAAGAAGAACAAGTTAGAAGGGCGCCGGAGTGTTTTCCGGCGTATCCCCTCCGACGATCTAGTCAGTCTTTGAGAAAGAGAGAGGAAGGAGAAAACACTGAGTGTGTATTGTAGTAAAGAGTTTTTTGTTGCATACCCGTCTTGCCTTTTGCAAGGAGTATTTATACCTCAAAAGCTCATGATTGCTGTCAGTGTAGTCAGTAGGTGATCATTAGGTACAGGCAGTGTGCGCACTGATTCTGATGAGGAATGTCTTCTCTTCTTAACTGCTCGGGGTCCCGAGCAATCAATGCTGGGTCATCGGGATGCCGACGGTACAATGTACTCCTCTCGGGGAGGATGCAATAAATGCTCTGTATTAGGAGCATTTATTGCCTTTCATTTCCGAGCCTTACCGCATTGAATGCGGTCTCATCAAGGGAATGGTGCAATTAATTGTTTGTTTTCCCAAGTCGCGTGTCAGCAACGACATGCGGTTTGTCTGTCTCTGATGTGATATCATATGCCACGCGTCCATCCCCTATTGGTTGTGACCTCTGTATTCCAGTACGTTCTGACATTACTTGTGTAAGACGAGGTCATGATGAATAGCCTAGACTAGCCTAGGCTAATGACCTGCACGTCAATAGCTTATCCTGGAATAGAGGAAGCGTCCAGGCGGGGTACCTCTCGGCACCGAGGAAAGGCTGATCTCGGGGACCGAGGGAGTTATGCCGACCGAGGTATGTATCTGACCGAGAACACGTGTCGGTTGTAAAATATACTGAATGTATGATCCTACATGACGGTACCTTGGGGGCGAGGGCATTCGTACGCCGATGGTGCTTGATCCTAGCAACAGTGTTTTAGTAAACCGAGAACACGTGTCTTCATCATAGGGTATTTCAGAAAAGTCCCATCATCAACCCTTCTATCTTCTATCATATTTTTTACGTTAGCTAGGACACCAAGTTAACCAAATTGAGTTTTTTTTTAACTTAAACTAATATTAAATTAATATTTGGATGTCGTATGAGGTGGATAGATGATGAGAGGAAGAGATAGAATAAAGGTAAAAATCACGTAATTACATGAGTTCGCTGATTGTGGTAATTGCATACGATGATTGATAATGATATACTCACAAAAAAATTGAACGAAATAAAGAATCCAAATAATACAATAACTAATACAATGAATAAATCTCAAATATTAAATAAATAAAAATTGGACTAAAAGTATCAAAATTAAAGTGAAATGATACTTAGTCATTGTTTTTTATACTATTTATTGGATAATTTAGCAATATTTTTTATAATAAATANAGTGAGAGAGAGAGAATCGAGAAAATACTGTGAGTGTATTGTAGTAGAGAGTTTGTTGTTGCATACCCGCTTTACTTTTTGCAAAGAGTATTTATACCTTAAAAGCTCATGATTGCTGTCAGTGTCGTCAGTANTACAAATAAGTCACTTCACACATCCCATCAATAAACATTGTTTCTAAGCAATAAACACCAAACAACAACCTGCAGAGACTCCATTACACCTAAACCATGATTAAAATTAAGTTCTTCCTGTGTACTCTAAACACTAAAAAATAAGTTTGGATTGGGTCTGGACAAAAAAATTATAACCTGAATTGAATTCGGATAAGTCTCAAGTTGAGGCATTAGATTATCAGATTCAACCCGAATATTAAAAACAGTTTGAACCTGATTATTATTAAATCGGGTTGAACCTGAATATATATAAATATATATAACTATGGTTAATATTTATCTTCACTTTTCAGAGTTCAGACTTTCACTTCACTTTATTTTAAATCTTCACCTCTGTGCGCTTCATCATTCTCAAATTCCTCTCTCACTCGTCTCAGATTCTCAGCCTCCCTTTCTCCTTTGTCTGAGTCTCTTCTCAGACTCTCAACCTCCCTTTCTCACTTATCACTCTTCTCTCTTTTATTAACCTGAATTAAGTAATTCGATTTTTAACCCAAAAATATTTCGAATTAAGTTATTCGAATTTAACCCAAGTTCGTCCGAATTAAATTCGGACAATACTCAAGTTATGTACCTCAAATTAATATAGAATTAGAGTTAAAAATTATATACATAAAATTTAATTAAGATTTACCCCTCAACCCGTTCAACCCAGTCGAATTTTACCCCTGCTGTTAGATAGAATCTTATGACTTAGACAATCTTAAACCAAAGAGTATAGCTCAGACCCANAAAATAAATATACAAATAAGTCACTTCACACATCCCATCAATAAACATTGTTTCTAAGCAATAAACACCAAACAACAACCTGCAGAAACTCCATTACACCTAAACCATGATTAAAATTAAGTTCTTCTTGTGTACTCTAAACACTAAAAAATATGTTTGGATTGGGTCTGGACAAAAAAATTATAACCTAAATTGAATTCGGATAAGTCTCAAGTTGAGGTATTAGATTATCAGATTCAACCCGAATATTAAAAACAGTTTGAACCTGATTATTATTAAATCGGATTGAACCTGAATATATATAAATATATATAATTAGGGTTAATATTTATCTTCACTTTTCAGAGTTCAGACTTTCACTTCACTTTATTTCAAATCTTCACCTCTGTGCACTTCATCATTCTCAAATTCCTATCTCACTCGTCTCAGATTCTCAGCCTCCCTTTCTCCTTTGTCTGAGTCTCTTCTCAGACTCTCAACCTCCCTTTCTCACTCATCACTCCTCTCTCTTTTATTAACCTGAATTAAGTAGCTCGATTTTTAACCCAAAAATATCTCGAATTAAGTTATCCAAATTCAACCCAAATTTGTCCGAATTAAACTCGGGCAATACTCAAGTTATGTACCACAAATTAATATAGAGTTAGAGTTAAAAATTATATACATAAAATTTAATTAAGGTTTACCCCTCAACCCGTTCAACCCGGTCGAATTTTACCCGCTCTTAGATAGAATCTTATGACTTAGACAATCTTAAACCAAAGAGTATAGCTCAGACCCAACTAGATGGGTCAACAACTCACCACAATCATGATACAACCACCCAGGGGTCCCACCCACGCGCCACTATGGCTTACGAATAAATTCTCTCCCTCTCTCTCTTTTTATTTATTTTTATTTTTTATGATTAAGTTCATCAACATCACCAAGACACACCAAACACACATACACATGATTGTACGCTAATTATACCCAAGCGTGCGCTTCACACGTATGAAACCTTAAAAGCCCACACGCACGAAAGGATATTCATGTCAATTTATTTCTCTATATAGTCGCACCCTCCGTGCATTCCATACGACTTTGGCTTATACTCTCTCTCTCTGCTCTGCCTTTTGTGTGTACTGTTTTTGTGGGTTTGATTTGAGGATAAGCAATTTGGGGCTTGGCTTTCATTCAGCGCAAGTATTTCTCCTTCGATAGCGTTGTGTCCTCACCATTTTTGGTACTTTTCTTAGATAGTATGTGGGTTTTATGCCTTTTGTTGATTTTCTAATTTTTGATCCATCTGTTGCGAAGTGAGCTTTGATTTTGGTGCGTTTTTCTTTTATTTCTTTCTATGGGTTTCTACTGGTTTACTGTGGGCTCAAATTTCTCCTTTCTGTTCCGTTTGGATGCATTTTATGTTTGTTTGCTAAGAAAAGGAAGACAGAAAACATTATGGAACTGGAAAGCTTAGATTTTCAGATTCAAACCCTGATCTAACAAAGCGTTATTCCATATACTCTCCGTTGGTAGAGCTGATTTTTCAGTTGTTAAAGATAAAAAAATTATCAATGAATCAGTATGTTTTGACGAAGTTCCTCCATTTTTTCTGAGGAAGTTACGTAAAAGCTTCCCTGTTTCTCAAATTTCTGTGTTTTCTTATAGATCCATGGCTTAAGTATGTAAAAGTAGATGGGCTTCCCTTTTGCTAGATTTCTTGCATTTTCCTTTTACGGTTCTGTTGTATCTGATATATGTGTAACTGTTGCAGGAGAGCTTTGATAGGAATCAACAAAAAGAATCAGTCAATAGATTAAAAAAAACAGCATGCGGTGTTATAGCCTCTCCTTCCGAAAAGTCGTCTCTCTGAACTTGTATTGCCGTGTTATTCTGTAATTTTTCATCCCTATAATCATCTACACTACGATACCAATCGTTCCTTCTCTCTCTTCGCCTTCAATTCATACATTCTTTCCATGGGATCTAGTCGCTTTGCAGTCATTCCTTGTTACGTCCGCCAGATTAGTTGAACTCTTTTGAATTCCCGTGTCCTCCCATTCTTTTCGATCTTGAATTCGATACACTTTTGATCTTTTTTGTTTCATTTGATTGTCCTGTTTTCAATTTCTCTTGGGTGGTTTTGCTGGGAAAACTGCTGTTTGTCTTTGGGTGAAAGGTCTGTAGGTTTTGCAGTTCTTGTTTGCCGGAAGATTGTGGGTTATTTTGACTTGGAAGGGTTGGGAAAAAGGTAGTTATGGTGTGCCAAGCAGCTAGTCAAACAAGATTTCGGGCATTGAAACATGAGAATGGAATTGCTGGGTGCGCCACCATAATTGTTAGAGTTATAGCATGCTTTCAACCTCTTCAAGATTGCCAGGTCAGTAGGCGATATTCCATCTTTTTTAGCTGAATTAGATTCAATGGGTCAATATTCTTGATTCCTCCACATCATGCTTTATTCTTCTATTAGCCTTTGATGATGATTGAGAAAGTCTAATATGATGCTCTCTTTTTGGGTGTTTCTACAGGCTGAATACTTCCGTCATTTGCTTAAACCTGTTACGTAGTTTTATTTTTGCGGCATTGTGTTGAAGTTAAGCTGGACTTTTTAGTTTTCCCTTTATTCCTGAAAGAAGCTAGAAGTAATCACCCATCTATAGCACTACGATTATTGTTCACTTGGTATGTTTCATTGTGTTTGGCTTTAGATTGCTATAAAATTGTTGTTTTTTTGGGAATGATTCTGACTAGTTGTGTGCTTTCTGGGTTATGCTGTGTACTAATATTTAGGTAGTTGTTGCGGTTGGATGGCCGAGGACTTTGGATCCTGGTTTCATCACCAGCATTCTGATCAGAAATCACCCAACTTGGGTAATTTCACTTTTCCATTCAACTTGGGGCAGCAAAGAACTGTCCCTGCTTACATGTATCCGTGCGGTGGTAACATGGTTGCTGCTAATGGGACTTACCCTTTGTCCGTATTTACAGGGCTGCCTAATTACAAGGCATGCCAACCAAATGAGCCTCGTGGGTGGTTCTATTGTTTGCCTCGTTTCGGTCAGGCCTTTGCTCCTGCACCTAACTCTGTTCTGAAGGAAAAACTTCTTGCTAATCCGCATGAAATCTGTAAAGAGGCTGGAGCTCCTGACGTGGGTCCTGGTTGTCCAGAGAAGAGATTCCTTGTGTTTGATCAGTCCGGTGATCAAACAACCTTGATTTTCAATTCTGGGATTGTGTCTCCTGCCCAGTGTATGACTTCTTGGAACCCTAAAGCCCCTGCTGCTTATGAATTGAATACAGATCCAGGAGCTAAAAAAGATGCAGCCTATCATTATGGGGCATTTTTGACCGATGAGTATGAGGAAGGAAATCACACTGATGATGTGGGAAGTGAGCTGCGTGAAGACACAGGGGAGCTTGATGCTTTGCTTGACTCTGATGATGACGATTATTATTCAGAGGATGATGAAGAAACAAGTACAGGTCATTCACCTAGTACCATGACAGGTTACGATAAACAAGAATTGTCCGAGGAAAGTGGTGAAGAAGTTGCTAGTTCTGCTGGGCCAGCAAAAAGGCAGAAACTCTTGCATGGAGAGTATGGTGTTCCATCCCTCATGGACACAGCTAGTTCACTGAAACGCAATAGATGCTTTGAAGATGAGAATGATGCAGAATCTAGATGTGGTGATGGAAACTATCAATATCAAGTTTTGGGAAATATGGATTCCTCATCTGGCAACAAGAGGTCCAGGAGAGAGAAAATACGGGAGACTATTAGCATTCTGCAGACTATTATTCCTGGTGAGAAGGGAAAAGATGCAATCATGGTTATTGATGAAGCTATCAATCACTTGAGATCCTTGAAGCACAATGCCAAGGCTTTAGGCCTTGATACCCTCTGAGATGTATCATGTCTTGTTATAAGTAGTAGTGATGTTAGTATGTGTAATAATGTAGTAGTAGTGGTACTTGATATATTATCGTCAATGAGATGGGGTGTGCCGGGTACATTAGGGTTGGTGTGGCCAAGTGGTGTTGTCACTGGATAAATTGATTCATCAAGTTGTGGAGATAATGTTCTTGAACCCCTCTTGGAGGCTTCCTTCCATGATTGAATTGGAACCAGTAGCTTTGGTTTATAAGCTCTCTAATCTCTCCCCCTCTCCTACTACCATAGTTTTACAGAATGCGCTCTATCGATGCTGAAATAAAGATTGGTGAATCATGAGTTTGTCTCTTGAAGCTCAAGAGAAAGTAACACTTGCACATGGGCATGTTGGTTCGACAAGAGGACCTNTAAAGATTGGTGAATCATGAGTTTGTCTCTTGAAGCTCAAGAGAAAGTAACACTTGCACATGGGCATGTTGGTTAGACAAGAGGACCGCCGGTTGTGTTGGTTGTTTTATGTTCTGTCCTCTTTCCCACTACAAGAGTTTAAAAGAAAGCACTGCATCAGTGCTCAAACATAGATTGGTGAATCATGAGTCTGTGTCTTCCAAGTTTAAGAGAAAGTAACACTCTTGTATGGCTATGGTGGGGTGACCGGTTAACCGAGAAGGTCCCCATAAATGAAGAGTGCACGCCTGGNCGACAAGAGGACCTCCGGTTGTCTTAGACAATGTGGTTGTGTTGGTTGTTTTATGTTCTGTCCTCTTTCCCACTACAAGAGTTTAAAAGAAAGCACTGTGTCAGTGCTCAAACATAGATTGGTGAATCATGAGTCTGTGTCTTCCAAGTTTAAGAGAAAGTAACACTCTTGTATGGCCATGGTGGGGTGACCGGTTAACCGAGAAGGTCCCCATAAATGAAGAGTGCACGCCTGGNACCTAACTCTGTTCTGAAGGAAAAACTTCCTGCTAATCCGCATGAAATCTGTAAAGAGGCTGGAGCTCCTGACTTGGGTCCTGGTTGTCCAGAGAAGAGATTCCTTGTGTTTGATCAGTCCGGTGATCAAACAACCTTGATTTTCAATTCTGGGATTGTGTCTCCTGCCCAGTGTATGACNGGTGGGTGGCTTGGGACCCAACTCTCACTTTCATACTCTTTTTCATATCTTGTCAAGTAACTTCCTGTGGGGTTATCTTATCTGCTGGAGGAAATTGCAGCGGCCAATGCCTTCATGTTTTATCAACTATTTGTGGTTAAACTTCAACGGACCACCTAAATGAATCTATTGCAATGAAAGCTATCTTTATTTTTCTTGTGATTATAAAACTGTGATTCATCTGTAATTTGATGGTTATGTAAATTGACTTTTATGTATGAATGTTTGACTGCTTGCAATCTTTCATGGTGGTGTCGGTGTTGCTTTTATTAGCAGCAGCTGGTGGTACGGTTGTTAGATGATATGAGCAGTATCACAAAGTTATTGCAGATCACATAACCTTCTCTATGTTCTCAAACTGCTTTTAAGAAAAAAAATTTAATGAGAAATTGTGTTTTTTAGGATTGGGTTGGAGTTTGTTCAATTTTTTGGAATTTTCTACTGAGAAATTTTTTTTATTTCGACTCAAGTTTGAGTTGAATTTTTATAAATTTAGATCGAGTTGAGTTTGAATAAGAATTGGATATGACTCAAACTTGGTTAATAATGTGATTCCTCCTTTACTCTTGGAATAGTTGTAGGTTTGATCGCGTGACAAAAGGAACCATAATGTTGCATTATCCTCGTGCTCAAGNCACAACCGAGTTCAAATTGAGAAATTAGCCGGTGGATAGTGATGGTAATGTATTACATGGGACATTCATGCTTAATGTGATTCCTCCTTTACTCTTGGAATAGTTGTAGGTTTGATCGCGTGACAAAAGGAACCATAATGTTGCATTATCCTCGTGCTCAAGTTTATCTCTGTGGAAGGGCGCCGGATGTGCCCATTTTCTTGCATTTCTTGTCAAGTGCAACCTGGAAAAAGAGCTTGAGAGAAAAAGGATAATAAACGAAAACAAACAAGTTTTTACTTGTAGTATTTAATAAATTCATGATACGTGTCTACACTACAGAAGGATAAATGACATGAGTCATCAACTAACATGACAGAGGGCCTGATAGAGTCCAGTGCTGCAGCAAGCACAAGCACTACAAATGGCGGAACACATCTTCATCGCAATGGAAATGACAAAACTTCACCGCAAGAGTCAGGGGCAATCTTAACATGGCTCACCTCNTACTACAGAAGGATAAATGACATGAGTCATCAACTAACATGACAGAGGGCCCGATAGAGTCCAGTGCTGCAGCAAGCACAAGCACTACAAATGGCGGAACACATCTTCATCGCAATGGAAATGACAAAACTTCACCGCAAGAGTCAGGGGCAATCTTAACATGGCTCACCTCCTCCACTGCTAAAAATATGACACAATAATGGGATTACACGGCATATGGAATTGGTATTCTCAACCTACAAAACACCATTGCTCAACTGATCCACTGGACTAAGATGAAGGGTCCCATCTAGGGACAGGACAATATGACCCTTCTCAAGGAAGTATTAAGTAATGGGGGGGAGGCGACAATGATTGTCAGTCTCGGCTAGGGGCAGGGTCTCGAAAGTTTAGTTTATTTGAACAGGCCTTCCAGCATATGACTCATTACTCACTAGGGTGTGCTTAATTAGGATTCGGGGACTCCAAAAGTAATTGGGGTTATTGATCCAAATAAATATATGGAATAATGTGACATATGAATTGATGGATGAAGGATTGAAATTATATGAATTTTCTCTATTGGACACCTTGACAAAGGTCTCGAAGAAAAGGTTCAGGGAAGGAAGGGAGGATCCTAGGTAGTAGCGTACTGGGGGCATCGCGTACATGACCTTCTCAAGGTCATGGTCCCACGATGACCAGTAGCAATCATTAACCTTAGAAAATCCCCTTTTGCCTCGACTATCCCATTCCTCTTTAGGGGTTGCATTCAGGCTACGTTTGGTGAAACATCATACTACCTAGTTAATGTTAGGACATGTGGTTTGCGATTATCGGTCACTGGTATCACCGCAATCGAGATAGTTGTGAGTTGACGTAAATGCCAGAGGGTCGCGGCGAGTAGCCCTTCGGGTAGCCTAACCTGTCCAAGCACTATGCTATAATTATCCACATTACTCATCCACTACGAAGGATGAGATTTTGACTTGGTTGGTGAGAGCATTTACTCCAACTACTCTTTGCTCAATTGGTTGGTTCATTCGTTAATAGGTTGTTCGAGTATTTTTCGTCTTATCTGTTTATCTTGCTCATCTCTTTAATTACCAGTGATATAGATACATATGTCAACCTATTTTAACCCTAATCTATATTACTGAAATAACTTATTCAATATTATAATACTTTCATTATAGTGAAAAATGGCCCTTATATGGAGGTATCTATTGAATATTGGAGACACCATTTTATTAACTATTTGAAGCATGATAGATGGCCAAAAGAAAGCATAAAAANCTTGATATAGATACGCATGTCAACCTATTTTAACCCTAATCTATATTACTGAAATAACTTATTCAATATTATAATACTTTCATTATAGTGAAAAATGGCTCCTTATATGGAGGTATCTATTCAATATTGGAGACACCATTTTATTAACTATTTGAAGCATGATAGATGGCCAAAAGAAAGCATAAAAAGAACCCAATTTCCTAAAAGGTTGCTCCAGTATGTATATTTCAACTCCACATTCTAGATGTTGGTTATAGGTCTATGAAAATCGAAAACATTAGGGGGGTGAATATGTCACAATCAAATTAATGCAAAAAAAACTCTTTTATCCCTCCTACGCTTACCGTGTTATTTGAGACAGGGCCAAGCGGGGTTTGGATCAAGGCCCCTTGGGCCCAACATAACTCCGTCACTGTTCATAACACTCAATTGTTGCTACGAGGTTAAGCTTTAAACAAGTCACGAAAACACATTTTTGTTAGGATCAAACGAATGGCAATAAAATTTTCATGATGNTTATTTGAGACAGGGCCAAGCGGGGTTTGGATCAAGGCCCCTTGGGCCCAACATAACTCCGTCAGTGTTCATAACACTCAATTGTTGCTATGAGGTTAAGCTTTAAACAAGTCACGAAAACACATTTTTGTTAGGATCAAACGAATGGCAATAAAATTTTCATGATGGTTGTGATGATAAACAAACTCTACATATTTTTTAGGAAAAATTACGGCAAGAGCCTATGAGGTTTGCCATTTAATTACTTAGATCTCCTAATATTTAAAATATTATACATAAATTTTCTAAAGTTTATTTGCGTGCAACATTTANGATAAACAAACTCTACATATTTTTTAGGAAAAATTACGGCAAGAGCCTATGAGGTTTGTCATTTAATTACTTAGATCTTCTAATATTTAAAATATTATACATAAATTTTCTAAAGTTTATTTGCGTGCAACATTTAGACTCCTACCGTCAATGCCTGTTAAAATATCCGTTAGTAAATTACATCGAAATTTATAGGTATGTAACACTTAGACCCCCAAATTTCAAATAAATAAAAAATAATTCAATCAAAAATAGAATGTTAAATTTTTTTAAATTTTACAACCAATATTCGTATTATATTATGTCATTTATTAATATAAAATCAAAAATAAAAATCAAATTTTTTATTTAATANATATGTAATAGTTAGACCCCCAAATTTTAAATAAATAAAAAATAATTCAATCAAAAATAGAATGTTAAATTTTTTTAAATTTTACAACTAATATTCATATTCTATTATGTCATTTATTAATATAAAATCAAAAATAAAAATCAAATTTTTTATTTAATAAATTAAAATTGGTATACAATTATATTATCTATTAAACGACCAAACTACCCCAATTAAAGATAGAAGATATTGTGTCAATTGTAGTGTCACTGCTTATTTATTTATTTTTTTTATTTTAA